TGCCACAGGCCTTAGAAATATCAAGCGTAACAGCTCTTCATTCTTCATGTTTCTCGATTGCGTTATTCCAAATATGGGTGACATATGATAGAAGGTCGCCTGTTTCCGAAAGCCATATTAATGATCGCTCAAGATGTTGAAGCTTTCCAAATATTTGAGGATATGGTGGTTTACGATTTTTTCCATGATTTTTGATATCACTGATAGCAAAGCGACTGGTCTATAGTTATTTGGAAGTTATTTGGAACTATACTTGTATCTGCTTCGTGAACCCAATTTTCAATGATTCAAATCGTTTTGGAAGTCCAAATGTTGATTTTTTCAGCAATATGAAATGAAATTGAAGCAATTATTTCAGTGTTTTGGTAATAAATTAAGTTTTGTTTACCTTTCTCACTCTTGGAATACTATACTTTGAAATCAAAATGATCTTCGGAACAAAAACACAATACAAGCACTACAGTTTCTTCATTCAACCCATCCCCTTTCTTCGCATATCCAGGTCTCGTTTCTTTTTCATTTTTGAGAACAACTCTTTGGTCCATTTAGGGTTGAATGAGTACATCCATCCACTATAGCATATTTTTTGGGGCTGTTTCATTCTTCATACCTCTGCAAAGGGTGTTCAAAAATTTACATAAGATACCTAGTACTAGGAACTCCCAACAATAGGCCCAGAGGAAGTATTTGAAGGGTTACTACCAGCCAATAAAACCTTTTTGTTTGCCAAATTGCTAAAAGATACTCATACGTAGTATTAACAGCTCTTGAGACAACTTCTGCAAGTTTGAGTTGAAACATAAGCAACTCAAGTTCACTGGCTTTTCTTCATCAAAGCTGAAGAGTTGGTCTTCTTTTTGTGTCTTTGATATCTTTCGAATTTTGAACAAAAGATCTGGATGTCTGCATGCATAAGTTGTTGCTGGTAGAATGTATACTTATATTGTGGGAAACTATACATGGCTTGCTATATATAATGCATTGTCAACAGAATCCACCTTTATCTGATAGTATAGGTATCTATTTTGGACTTTTTCAATCCAGTTTCATGCCATAAAGCATCAAAGTTTTTAGATGAATTTAGCAATATAACAAGTATTCTGTTCGTTTTTTAGTGTAATTTCAAGTATGAAATATCAATGAAATGAACGCAAGAGGGATTGGGAAATGAAGTTCATTGTCATCATTTTTATAGAACTATGTGAAAGTATATACTTTGTAACGGATATACCTTGAATATAAACTTTTAATTTATGGTGACAAAATTCAATAATGTTTTGCTATTTTGAGGCATTAAACCTGCATTCGGTATTAAGTTTTTATGGCTAGCTATATATTATAAACTCATGTGACGTTCCTACGGCTTCTTCGAGATGGCAGTTAACAGCACATAAATGTTATGAACTTCAGATAATTTACTTAGCCGAAGAGAGCTAGATCATGGATAAAGTGAGAAAAGTTCTGATTGACTTGAGTTCTATTGTTAGATGGTACGAAAACTAGATTTTTACTCTGAAAAAAGTCGTCACAACGGAAATAAACTTGCCATGGTTATAAATCGAAAAAATGGTAGCTTTCAAAATCTGATCACAATTTCAATGTTTCATAGATGTCACTCAAATAAAGTAAATGTGAGCAACGTCTGCTCTCACCGACCATAGAAGATTAAATTCATAAAAAAATTCATTTTACGTCAGACGTTCGAGTTCTACACTGATGGCTAACAAACTTTCCGAAACACTATCAGTTTCGTAACCCAATATGAGATCATTAATTCACAAGGATATATCGAAAAAATCAACTATCTCTCAACGTACGGTTGCGAGTAAATATGTAAATACTACGCCCAACGATTTTATTATTTTTTTATCCGATCAATACTGTAAATTGCTGACGGGAGTGGTGTGATGACTGCTACCTAGGACCATCCGTATTATTTTTAGATTTTAGTACATTATCTACATCATTCTCATCTTTTTATTTCAATAAAACCGGTTAACATTAAAAAACGTTCACTTAGGTATTTCATTTTCAAGTTTTCAGTTTCTAATTTTTATCAAACTTCAGTTGCTTCACGGGAACCGTGAAGCGTCCGAAACTGTCAATATTAAATATAAATGAAAAAGCAATTGTTATGAATGTTTATAATTCTTTAAGAATACAATATCCGCTCGAAATAAAAAGTAAGGAGGAAGTAGTGCAAAAATGCGTGAGTATGACCGGCGTCAATAGATCGACAATCTTTAGAATTCTTAAGGAACTCGAGGAAAACAACGGCTTTTTGGAGCAGAAAGTATACACTGGCAGAAAGTGTTTGGTTATCGACAAAGAAGTCGATAATTCTATTAGAACAGTACACTCTTTTGACCTAAGAAACGAAATACCCACATTGAATAAAATTTTGTCAGTTATTAGTGAAGACAGTTTTTTTCCTGATATAAGGAGAACTAGATTATGGAAGATAATGGAAGAACTTCACTTTGGGAAAACAAGATAGAAAGAGCATGTTGATAAAAAAATCAGATACTGTAGAATGGAGAAGAAACTATTTGAGAGAAATAAAGAAAGCCAGAACACTGGGTTAATATATTTTTTATTTGGATGAAACATTGGTCAATGAGGGTCTCACCATCTCAAAGGTTCGGCAAGACAAGAACATTAAAACCCTGAAGTATGTGTCTCAGTACAGCTATACTTTTCCACTTTTTGAAAATGGCTCCAAAGCCGAAGCGTCGAACAATGAAAAACTTTCAGCGCGGTTCTACCTGAAATTCAGATGTTTAAATTCCTAACCGTGGAAACCTATTCTATTTGTATACTTGGCTGGTGACGTTTCGAAGACTGTACCCAGTCAAACCTACGATCAATTTGATATTATCATTGTCAATAATAATAATATCAAATTGATTGACATCAAAAAACGAATTATAACTACAAATTATATTGTTTTGATTTACATAGGTTGGATTCAAAATGGATAGTTTTTAAAACGTCACCAGATGATACATTTTTTTTCATATGCAAAATTTTATGAATTCAAATTACTGATAAATTATATTTTTTTCAAAAAGCTAATTCATCAAATGCAGTAATTTTTTGCCCTTCTACATTTGTATTTATTTCTAAATTTGATATTCTGATTATTTTACAGATATGTGGAAGGTAACAATCCTAAATAAAAAACTATTTCAAATATAAATTGTCCTTCTCAAA